ATCAAGGCTCGTGTCAAAATCAAGAAGAATTGGCACGATCATTGAGAGTGACTCAACAAACCATTTCAAAACGCCTCAAAGCCATGGGAATGATTCAGAAGCAAGGAAATTGGGTGCCGTACGAGTTGAAGCCGAGAGATGTTGAACGGCGTTTGTTTGCTTGTGAACAGCTGCTTGAAAGGCAAAGACAGAAGGGATTTCTGCATCGTATTGTGACTGGGGACGAAAAATGGGTTCATTACGATAACCCCAAGCGCAGAAAATCATGGGGAGTTCCCAGCCATGCTTCCACGTCGACGGCCAAACCGAATATTCTTGGCTCCAACGTCATGCTCTGTATTTGGTGGGACCAGCTCGGCGTAGTGTATTATGAGCTGTTAAAACCGACTGAAACACAGGCGATCGGTATCGAACGCAATTGATGCGTTTGAGCCGAGCATTGAAAGACAAATGGTCGCAATACAACGAGAGACACGATAAAGTGATTTTGCAGCATGACAATGCTCGACCCCATGTTGCGAAAGTGGTCAAGACATACTTGGAAACGTTGAAATGGGAAGTCCTACCTCACCCGCCGTATTCTTCAGACGTTGCTCCTTCTGACTATCACTTGTTTCGATCAATGGCACACGGCCTGGCTGACCAGCACTTCCGGTCTTATGAAGAAGTAAAAAATTGGATCGATTCGTAGATCGCCTCAAAAGATGACCAATTTTTTCGACGCGGGATTCGTACGCTGCCCGAAAGATGGGAGAAAGTAGTGGCCAGCGATGGACAATACTTTGAATCATAAATGTATAATCAGTTTTTAACAATAAAGCCTCGAATTTCGGAAAAAAAAACGGCGGAAACAAAGTTATACACCTAATAATTTCGTCTGAGTGTAATACTATTTTTCAGTTAATGTGGTTTTCGTGTTTACTGATTCTCGCTTTTAAAGCTCGCCTGATCCATGTATGTTGAGTCATTTGCATTTCTTACACTTTATTTTATACACTACATTGATGTGCGACATTAACAGAAACTTATCTTTGTAAACCTTAATGAAACTACTCAATTTGTTAACAACTTTTTAAGTCATGCTTACTGTTATTCCTTAAAAAGTTTTTAATTTTCTCTGAAATACCGGAAACGTAAGGTACTATAAAGAATATATTTTTTTGTTTTTTATTTTAGAACTGTTCATTACTGCGAGTACAATTGTTCCATAAGTTAAATTTTTTATGTAATTTTTTCTGATGACGGAAAAAATCAACTGCAATGGATACCCATTATTTAGTAAAATTCTAATAATTTTATCAAAATTTTTATCATGGAGAGAGGGGGATACCACAAAAGAAGTAGGACTTATCAATTAAATCCGCTATGACTTCAATCTTCTGACATAACGGGTGTTATGAAAAATAATTTAAATAACGTTCTGAAAACGTGAACTTTTGGTACCAGTCATACATGATAGAGTTATTGAATTTTAATGTCACATCTAAAAAAAAAAAAATTCAATTTATTGCCACCCTCCTCCACCTAAACTTTAGCCGTGGATGGTAATTGTTAATACATGGCGGAAGTCACTGATGTATGCCTTATTAATTGCAAGAGTAATATCGTCTACATAATAAGCATAAAAAGAGAATTCAATTGTCAATTTATTAAAAGCAGCTGATTCTAAATCCTGTAGAATTATGTCAAAAATAATTGGAGATAACAGCGAGCTATCGAAACTCCGAAGATTTATTTATAAAATTTATCATTGAATGTAAAAAAAGTAAAGTCAAACAAGAACGATACATTTGATTGACATCATTACTATTGGATTAAAAAGGATCCGAAGTTTGGATCGAAACGTATGACCAAGTAACTGAATAAATTATTTTTCACACCAACATCTTATGTTTAGCTTAAAAAGACATCAATTTATTTATTCTTATATAATTTTATATACATATATATATATGTGTGTGTATATATATATGTATATTTGTATACAAAATTTATATACATAACGTGATGTATATACATACAATTTATCATAAAGTAAATAAAACTTTATAATATATGCCGCTTGTCCTATCATGATTCTCTGTTCCATTATTATTGAATGCGTTCAATTAAATAAACTATGACGAATCGTATATATATTCAATTACAACTTTAAAGCACCATATACCATATGTATTCGACTACTTTAATTAAATATATTTTGAGATTATAATTACATCTTCAAAATATTCGTGCATCGATTAATGCCGTAAAAAGTTGTATAGAAAGTCGACCTATGACAGGCCTGTCCAGGTGGAGCCTTGGCGCCTATCCTTTGTTATTTTCGCTCCGTCTCGCTCTACTGAGATGACGGAGTGGGGGAAGCGTTTTCGACTCACGAGCAAAGTGTTGGACAGGCCTGACCTATGGCAACGATTCCTAAGTATTAAGAAACCTACTTTCTATTAATTATAAATGTACCTATTTTAAAAATAATCTTGCAATAAATTGATCGAAGTTGGATGTAAATGATTCTTTTTCTCACAAATTAAGTGAAACAAATTAGTACAAATTTATTTCACGTAGGTTGTGACAATTAGATTCCTAATTGTTCGAATCAGGGAATAATTTTGCATTTCTTATGTCCACCTCTCCTCTGCTTTATCTCTATTTCATAATTATCGCAAAAGTAATTAAATATTAGAATGTAAAAAAATGAACTCGTTATTTATTTTTCCATTATAAAATAATATTATAATATTATATAATATTATAATATTATATAATATTATAATATTATTTTATACATTATGTTATAATTATAGAACTTATAGTAAATGGAATATGAATGTAGAGTTGTGAGCAACATCTAAACGACAGAAATCTTTCTATCCTGCTCAGTGATCGTTCTTCTTTATGCGCATGACCATCCTCTGCCAATGGAAATTTTCAGATGCCGACACATAGTCATATTGTTATAAATTTTCATGGGACGATTTTTTGTTTATTAACAAATGTAAACACAATTTTATTATAACTGCTTACATAAAATGGTTCAATATTGCATTTTGTGATGTAACCATACCAAAACAGTGTACCACAAGTAAGTGTATTACACAGCTCGTAATTATCAATAAATACTTGTAATCTGTACTCCCATGTTTACATTGAAAAATAGAGGAAAATTAACGATTCCTTTGGAAGATATAATAAAAGTTACAAGCGCATGCGAAAAAATTATAAGACAAAATAATCATCTTATTTTTGTCAAAAAAAATATTAAAGATTTCTTAGCGTTAAAAATCATTAATGCTGTGATTGATTATCCTTTTACACACAATGCTACGTTGGACATATAAGAAATTTAAAAAGTTTTCGATAATCATAGAATATAGCGAATAAAATGTATCATTGAAGTCAATGTTAAAATACGCCTATGTTACGAAGCAAAATTGACATCAAATGACGCTAAAAAAACAGTACATACGCCACAAATATTCAAAAATAATACATTTTTATCATTAGTAAATTATTTGTAAGTATTTTTAATTTTCATTTTAATTTTGTTTTAATTATTTATAAGTATTTTTCTATGAGTTTTTAATGATAATTACTATATCTCGTGTATAATTGACATAATTGTACTTTTTATGTACTCTTTTAACTCTTTATAATTCGAGTCATATTCTGTATAATTCAACATACATTCTTGTATCTTATCAAGTTATTTTTCCTTTTCATTCAATATAACATCAATCCTTCTGCTTTAATATACAGTTTGCAATTATTTTATGTTTTACAAAGTAAATTAAAAAAAGAACTTGTGATGACTAAAATACCACACCTCACTTGGCACATGCGCAGAAAGAAGAAAAGTCACTAAGCAGGACAGAAATACATCTTATGTTTCTCAGATGTTGCTCGCACTTTCCATTCACTGGTTGGATAGGTTATTCCGGTTCCATTACTATTAAGTCAGTGCTCGGAATTAGTTGCTCATTTCAGGCAGATTCCT